GATGGCAAAAAAAGTGTAATTATTTTACTGGTACATAAGATTTATCCTTATAGATATATAAAGGTTCTATCACAAAGGGCTGATTTACCCTTTGTATCGCGATGCTGTGTAGAACAAAGGCTCGCCGATTATATCGAAGAAATGGAGGCCGTGAGGGAGTTATTGTAGCCGATAATATTACACGAGAGTGAGAGAGAGAGAGAGAGAGAGAGAGAGAGAGAGAGAGAGAGAGAGAGAGAGAGAGAGAGAGTAGAGTAGAGATTACACGAGAGTGAGAGAGAGAGAGAGAGAGAGAGAGGAAAGAGGAGTTAAAGAGTGAGGGAGTAAATCACACACAACACACAGACAACACAGACAACCTGGAAGCTTGGAACGACCAGTTGTTGAGAAAGGCAATGGAGATTATATTATTGTGCCGAAGTAAAGAATAAGATAAAGAATAAGACTCGAGTAAGAAGTAGTAAGGAGTAGAGGGAGTTGAGATAAAAGAAGTAAACACAAGAGGGAAAAAAGTATTTATTTTTGACGAGTTCGCGAGAGAGGAAAAAGACGAGGGCAAGAGCTGAGTGTATAAGTGTACACAGAGAAGTGCAGGGAGGAAGCTAGAAAATATGGAATGGAACCTGGTTCAGCCAAGGGTAGGAGTCGCATTGAGATGTATCCTACTCGTACAATCCCTCCGTGTAGAAGCAGCCCAGCGTTGCTATGGGCGACCGTATCGATCCTCCGAAGCTGCTATGGGATGGATATATAAAACGATCCACTGTGAATTCTATCTAGGGCCATTAATGCTCGTGTGCTGCTCCGAGTTGTGGACTGATCAAGAAGCTGCTGCTGCTGCTACTGCTATTTCTATTGCTATCGGAGCTCCCGAACAGAGAAAGAGAATTTAGGTAAACAGAGACGGCAGTCATCAGCTACACTCTTTTTACTCCCCAGCGGAATATTCTCCGCTATCCAGTTTAAATTCTAAATTACTTTCTTCTCTACTTTATTAAAGTATATATACTAATACTAATACTAATACATACAACATATATTTTATACAAACTCAGTCATCAATGTCTCCCTCTTTGGTTCTCTTCCCCAACCTACACCAAGTAATACAAGTGTATATACTTTCCGGTTATCAAGCAGTTTCGACGACCGAATTTTTAGCTGACGAAAGCTTCTTTTTCCTCTCTCTATTCTTTTTACTCTTTATTGTCTTCAATGAGACGACTTGACAGCGAAAATGTTTTTTTTGAATTATTAACAATACTTGTAAGACTTCCTAATAATAGCCAGTTCATGCACCCACAGAAAAAAAATTGAATTTAAACTTTAAATAATTACTGACAGATATATTAGAAATTTTTTTAAAATTTTATAGCAATTAAATTATTATAAAAAAAAAAATTAATAAAAAATTCAACATGTGAAAATTAATAAAAATTATTAGTGAAAATTTTTAGAAGCATTTTTTTATTATAAAATTTTTTTTAATTTTTTAAATAAATTATATAAAAAGTATTTTTGAGCTGATATCTTTTTTTTTTTTGGTGGCCATACGTGTGTACATATTTTTTGGAGCACGTATCGCTAATGACAGATGGAACAGAGAAAGAGAAAGTAATAAAGTTGGCATGAAATTAAATAAAAGGAGCGACAGGTGCACCGCTGAAATCAATCGTCGTCGTGACAAGGTCGTTTTCTTTCTCTGGCCCAGGTGTATCGTCATTGTACATAAACTTTTATCCACATCCATACATTTATAGGTAAAACACACACATGTAGTTGGAATAGTAGACAAAACAAAGCCAGCTTAGAAGAGTAACCGCGAGTTTACATTCAGTTTTGTTCCCTCGATTTGTCCGGCAACTGGAAGAAAAAAAAATTGCATCGGTTGAGTAATCCACTCCTCTCGATGGCCTCGTGTCGAGGGAGAAATTCAATTTATCGAGGTGTATCGAAGCTACGTACACCATATACTCCGTATATACATGTATATGTACTCTTGATGAATATATACATACAGATAGATAGACACGACCACATCCCTGTGCATCCTCCTCGACAATCCGAATCGTGAATTGAGTATAACGTCGATCCTCATTGCTCTCGGGAATACTCACCAGTCGTTGCTCCTTCGAAATTCATGGAAATTACCATCTTCTTCTCCCTCCTCCTCCTCCTCCTCCTCCAGCTTCTTCTTTTTCTTAAACTTCTTCTGAAAAATTTTATTTGGTAATTAAAAAAAACTAGCAACCTTGCAGTCACTATGTAACTGCCGTAACTTGTGAGCTAAAAAAAATTAAAATTTTGCTTTATTAAATAATGATTTTTGATAAATTGCACTGTACTTTCTTAAATATTGACATTTTTAAAGATATAAGCTCATCCCGATGTTACACTCATCGAGACCTTTCATTTGAGTACCCACAATGTCGGGATGAGCTTATATTTTTAAAAATGTCAATAGTTCACAAGATACAAGGTCATTTCTTAATTATGTATCTAGGTTTAACACATTAATACACTGGCCACAAAAGTTTGCTTATTCTCTTAATAACATAAATGAAATTATTGTTTGAAAAATTTTTTATTCATGAGGTTTGTTAAAAAATAAAATTTTTTATCTCCAGCAGCATTGCACAAAAAGAATTATATTAAATGTATTATTATTTATATAAACTTTCATTGCAGCTTGACGCCGTTACAATTTCTGGGAAGATAATTATCCCTCCTACTATATAATAGGTACCTACGTAGCAGCTCTGCGTTGAGTATCTGGGATCGTACCGGTTTGTTATTGTTATTGTGTTGATGTGAGTATGGTGATGCATCGAGTAGGATGTAATAATGATCCACCGTAAACTGTTTTTAAATTGCATACATGCATTAACTCATACATCCACTTATCCGTGTATTACCGAGCACATTCATTTCAGTATCATTCGTTCAAGTGGTTGTTTATCATTAATATTATTATTATTATTATTATCATTATATTATTGTTGTTATTGGTAAATTTTGAGTAATGATCCATCGAGAATGCCAGGATCATTAATCCTTGTACATGTGCACCTGCTGATGCCAATAACACGCGTAAATGTCTCTCCAACGGATAAGGAGTCTCTGGAGGTTGCTCGTAACAGCCCAACCTCTTACATCTTACGCAGTTATGTGCTGGATATATGTATAAACGTTTAACCTCGTCGGAGTCCAAGGACCTCTCACAAGGCGAGTTTACTCAAGGCAAATTTTCTAATATTACTTTCTATTAGATTTTCATACCTTTTTTATTAAAAATTCTGGCAAATATATTTTTTTTTAAACTTCTACTTCTTTTTATCTCCATATTTTAAATTCAATGTTGGTTTTTACTTTTAGAACAACGCTCTGTAATTTTAAAGGCTTGTATTTTTAAGGACCACGAGTTTTAAGATGAGGTTTAAGTTAAGTGACTCACAATGTGAGAAGCTAACTTGGTTCAGTGACCGACGGAGTAGAGGTTCGGTTTTATTTCAGCTGGTTTTTATTCATTTTATATTCGGTAAAAATCAAGTGATGTTTGGCACGAGTTCTATTACACTGATAGAAAAATTTTTTTATATTTAATAAGCTTAATTAACTGTTAATAAATGATTTTTTAACATCATAGGATTTAATAAATATTTATTAACAGTTAATAACTTGTTTATTAAATGTTAATAAATATTTATTAACTGTTAACAAATATTTATTTAAAATAAAAAGCAATTTTCTTTTGACACTTTTTGTAACCCTAAAGCTGGAATACATGATAATAATTCAATTCACTACATAAATTAACCTTTTTAATATTTAAAAATATAAAAAATAATTATGAGCTGTAATAAAATTTGGTATTTTACAATAAACGTTATTATAATGTAATATAATTAAAATGTAAGTAATTTATAAAGATGATTTTTGTTTATAAGCAATCTTGCTTTTTTAATTTATTTAATACTGATTTTCTTCATTAAAAAAATTTATATTAAAATAACATATAATTTTTTCAATAATTAATTTTTATATATCTAAAAATAATTGGAGTACTTTTGAAAAAAAAAAAAATTAATTTTAAACTATAAAAAATTTTTTAATTATAGTAAAAATATAATTTTTTTTTTTATGAATAAATGTACACAATAAAATACTCTACAATACCTGCTGCTTGGTTGTTAATTAACAAATAAATAAATAAATAAATAAATAAATAGGAACTTTGAATAACCTTGATGGACACCGGGTCGTTGTCCATCAAGCATGTGTTAACAAATTACAGGGTCTCTGTGTGAAAATCATTAAGGCCGCTCTCAAAGACCGGTATTCATCGGCGAGCCATTCAGCTTTGCATATTTATTGTGGTATCCGAAAAAATAAAAAGTCTAAAACTGATGACGGCAGCACGAAATTTCATAACTTTTATATTTTTTTCCTACCTCTTGTTACTCGGGTGATTTTTATTTTATTCCGTCAAGTATTTCGGCACGAGCCACCATCAATAGAGCACAATATCTTTTACAATATATGTAATTTATTTTCCAAACTCTTTCATATACTCGCACATGTTTTTTCCCTCCTGCAATTGCACACAACAAAAAAAAAAAAATAATTTATTAACCGCGAGCTTAACAAGATTAAATTTTATAATATCATATTTTAATTTAATATCTGACGATCAGTAATTATTTTCTCTAATAAATAACATTCTTGGCAACGAAATTCTTTCCGTAAATATTTCATCGAATTTATCAAATAATTATTATCGTAATTAATGTACCGTTAATATTAATTTAAATTAATTTATCAGTTAATTGAATGGCATTGTATTGGAGATATTTTTGATAATAATAATGATTTAAATTCAGTGCAGAGCGGAGCTTTAGCGCCTATTGTTGAGTTTTTGCACTCACAGATGAGTAGTGCATCGCATCCTTGAGAGTAAAACCGTTAAACAGTGGTGGATAAAAGATAGTAGATAGATATCAGATATGACAGCTTCTCCTCATTTGCGTAATGCCTCTTGTTTTTACAAACTCGCCCGGGCATTAAAATTTCTCGCCATCACATCTGAATACTACTATTCAAAATGGAGTAAATAAGCGAGTACTCGCTTAATATTTTCCCGAAATTGCTTTCAAGTCTTTTGTTGTCTACTTTAAAGAATTTTAAAAATTCACAAATACTTTTTAATTAAAATAATTATCAAATTATGTTTATAAACTGATAGAAGGATTTATTAATGATTAATAATTGAATTTATTTAAAGACAATTATTTAATTTATTAAATTTTAATAAATATTTTTTAATAATTAATAAATTACTTATTAACTGTTAAAAAATATTTATTAAATTCTATGATGTTAAAAAATCATTTATTTACATTAATTAAATAGTTTACGGTGAAGGTAAATGAAAATAGGAAATCCAAAGAGAATGACAAGCGCCAAGTAGGTCATTAAGACTTCCCTTGTCTCAATTACCGGGTTGGCATGTTCTAATCCGACATCCCCTCTTAAAACTCATCTCCCATTTTTTTTCCATTTTTTCCAGCCGTCTCTCTTTCACTTATTTCCGGCTTAATCTAGACGCCAGCTAGCTTTCAGGAAAACTTTCAGGACTGCATCCTGGACTGTCCAAGAGTCCTATTACCCCTATTACTCCAGGTGCTGGCTCGATTTTCCGCGGCAACAATCATCCGGCGAGTTTAAGTGAGCAGTGAAAATCAAATAAAAAAAATATTCTCAGCCCCGACGGGATGAGAGGTTATTTTGTTCGCCGGGTGTTCGGTTTTTAATGGACTTTCGCGATGTAATCTCTCTGGTGAGAGATGATGGAAAATTTTTTAACAAAACCGGGCAAGTTAAATAGAGGAGCGGATGAGTTATTCCGATAAAATCGAGGCTGTTGATTACACTGAATAATCGAGGAGCCATGCGCAGATTACCTAGTCATTGAATAATAAGTCTTTTATTTTTAAATTATTTTTTTAATCAATTATTTAATAATCATGCACTGATAAAAGAATTTGTTTATATTTAATAAGCTTTATTAACTGTTAATAAATATTTATTAAATGTTAAAAAATATTTAATACAATTTAATAAATTAAATTATTAATAGTTAATAAATTCTTCGAATAGTGTAACAAGTCTTTTATTTTTAAACAATTTATTTTAATCAATTATTTAATAATAATCATGAATATTCGGTTGTTTATTTAAGAATGAAACTACAAAAGCGGCATTAGCATTTTCCGATAATCATTTATCGGAATGTTTCATTGAATTTTATTAAATATTTAATATTTTCACGAGTCGATGGACTTTGTGTTAAACTCGGTGGTTCATATAAATGCTAATGCCAAGTAAATTTATTTCCCTGGATGTTATTCGAAGGCTCGAGGTGGAGCAGCAGCACCTGCATCACCTGCATCTAAAATACCAGATGCACATTTATTTCCGTAATAGTATTTCTCAGAGAAATATCATTTTCTCAAAAATATCTCTTGGCTTTTTAAATCTCACTTACTTCTGGCTGAATCTTCCCACGGCTCACAATCTCACCCTACGCCCCCATCTTCATATATATTTATTCATTGATATATATATATATATATATATATATATATATATATATATATACCCCGAAGAAGTGAATTATACCCATTTCCAGTACATTGATCTCGGAATTTTCTTCTTCTCTTTATCATAACTCCGGCTAGGAGTAGAGTGTAACAGTGAAAGTGCTGGTGATTAAATTTATTGAAGCCAATGAGTGTTAAATGTACGCGGGAGAATTACTATATAAAAATCCACCGAATCAAGAGCTCTCCCTCTAATAAATATAAACATAAATAAAACCCATTTAATTATACGGTTATATTTAAAAGAGTTGTTTAGAAAAATCAACATCCAGCAGCAGTTTCTATGTAAATTGTTCCACTTCTAGGTTTTGAAGATTTTATTATTGCTTTTATATTAATTTATAATACTGCTTTGATGTTGAAATTTTCTATAAACCGTACTGGTAATAAAATTAATACATTATTATTATTATAAAATAATTTATATTGCTGGAAGCAGTAATTTATTTACCGTCCAAGAGTATTTGTTATACAAATTATACGGTCGTTTTTAAAATTAATGAGATTATTAGTATAGAGCACATCGTGCTTTATTTTACGGCTCGCGGAAAAGGGAGCAATAATTGAATTATTACTTTGAGGGTGCTCCTTTTCTTCTCATACTCTTCCTCAACTTGTTCATAATATAATGTAATATCAAGAGTAAAGATATTTATTGTTCTCGCTTTTAATTCTACTTCCACCGTCTTCAATAAGTACATCATTATAATTGTAATTTTATTTTAAACAAATAATAAGTGCACACATTTTTTTTTTTTTTTTTTTTTTTTTTTTTTTTTTTTTTAATTAAAATACTTTCCACATCTTGATAAATTTTTTCAGCGCAAATTTTTTTCTTAAAAGAAAATTAAGCCATAAAACAAATATAAATAAATAAGCATTAAATGTTTATGTAGAATAATAATCCGTAGGTTTAACGACATCGTCATAAAGTTAATACCTAGCATGTACATGATACCGGAAAGATATAAATGTTTAACACCTTTTCACCTTTACTTTTTGTAGTCAGCATGTGATATTAAACAGAAAAAGAAAAAGAAACTATCGATTGTGAGCAGTTGTAGGCTTTGAAGTTTGCCTAGTAATAGCACAAAGCTCTTGACACTTTGACAATTGAAAAAAACTCACCGGTATAATAAATGTTTCACCGGTGAAAATTCCTTTTCTGGAATGAAACTACCCAAAATACACACGAGAAACTAACGAATATAACTAGCAGTAGTTCTATTGTATATTTTTTAGCACACTCTCTTTCTCCTCTCGAATTTTTAGGGTGTACAGTGTAGTGGCTAGAGTATTGGATCAGCTATCCGCAAAAGCACCCCTGGCTGGTTGGTTACTGTTGCTGGTATTGTAGAGCTTTCTTTATCGTTCGTTCGGGATTCCCCGTAGCTGGTTTGGAACGTTTTCCCGGGCGAACAGGCTGCACGGCCATTATTTTCCGAGTGAGGTATGAGCTTTGACATTACGGCAATTCGTTTCCGTCCTACCGAATATTTCGTACGCTCTCTCGCCTTTAAAAGGAAAAAAATCTAAGTAACAATTAATCTTATTTTTTTTTATAAATAAAATACTGCTACGTAATTCCCGACTTGCTTTGCTATTTTTTCTTATAATCTTCTGAACTGATAATAATTATAACAAATTAGCTAACGTAGTGGGTAGTTAACTTTATTTTTATCAATTTATAACTTAAATAATTTTATTTCCTAACGGAACTAAATTTATTTAACACGACAACCCTTGTAGAGAGAAAGAAAGAGTGAGGAGTTTGTCACGAAATGTGGTTACTCTACCGACGTACTAGTAATTGCACTAGTGTGTTACTGTTATCGCTATAACAAATTACCTTCTCGACAAATATAAACAGAGTTGCCTTGACCAGTTTCCCTTTATCAGGTGCAAAAAAAAAAATATAAATTATTTATTTGATAAGGTAATTTAAGGTTTCCGCAATTAGTTTCCGGAGTTACCTATTGCAGTGTAAATTTCAGAACCTTTAAGAAATTTTTATAAAAAAAATATTTAAATTTTAATTTAAAATTTAATTTAATCCTCATTAAAGTTCGAACAAAGTTAGTTAATCGATTGAATAATTTATTTTTCAGACAAACAACAGGTGCCGACTTTGTGTGAGCTCTCGGCGAGATGTGTCGCGTCGCACATACCCTTCGAGCTGGTGGAGCACGTCTACCCTCCAGTTCCCGAGCAGCTTCAGCTTCGAATAGCTTTCTGGAGTTTTCCGGACAACGAGGAGGACATCAGACTTTACTCTTGCCTGGCTAACGGGAGCGCGGATGAATTTCAACGAGGCGAACATTTATTCCGTTCAAAAAGTGTCAAAGATCCCCTACAGATAGGTAATTAAAATAATTATCAAATCCTCTTTGAAGTTGTATTAATTAAATGTCATTTCAGGGTTCCATCTAAGTGCAACCGTAAATACCCAAGTATGTACAGGGTCAATAAACAACAAGGAGCCCTTCAAAGTATCTGTAACATTCGACCGCCGAAGGATAACATCCTGCAACTGTACTTGTACTTCCGCCGCTTACTGGTGTTCTCACGTAGTAGCAGTTTGTCTCCACAGAATCCACTTACCAACTCAAGTATGTCTTCGTGCTCCGGTAAGCGAGTCACTGTCGCGGTTGCACCGCGAGCAGCTCCAGAAGTTCGCCCAATATCTGATAAGCGAGCTTCCGCAGCAGATTTTGCCAACAGCCCAAAGGCTGTTGGACGAGTTGCTGTCGACCCAGCCGAGCGCGATAAACAGCTACTGCGGGGCCCCAGATCCAACCGCTGGGGCTTCCGCCCACGACCAGACCTCCTGGTACTTGGATGAGAAAACGCTCCACGGGAATATTAAAAAAATTCTGATCAAATTTTGCGTTCCCTCGCCCATTGTCTTCAGCGACGTCAATTACTTGAGCACGACAGCGCCACCAGCCGCGACAGAATGGTCCTCATTGCTGAGACCTCTAAGAGGCCGGGAGCCCGAGGGCATGTGGAACTTGCTCTCGATAGTCCGGGAGATGTTCAAGCGCACAGACCGGAACGCGATCCCCTTGCTGGAGATCATCACCGAGGAGTGCATGGCGTGCGAGCAGTTCCTCGTCTGGTGGTTCAACACCAAAATCGCCTTGCTAAATGGAACCGGCCACGGAGGCGGCAAGCACGGCAGCATGAACAACAACGCCCACGCGTCCCAGCACGCCTGTTCCTCTCTCTGCGACGAGATAGTCCTTTTGTGGCGGCTGGCGGCGTTGAACCCGGGTCTGTCTCCCTCCGAGCGCGAGATGCTCCACGGACAGTTCACAGCCTGGCACATGAAAGTCATCGACAAGGTGACCAAGAGCCGGGGGACTGTTTCTCACAATACCCAAAATAGAAACCACGGTGGCACCCAGAAGGACTCTCTAAAAACCGACATCGAGGTCTTCACCGGATTCAAGCCTGCTCTCGAGGCCTGCTATCTCGATTGGGACGAGTACACTCTGCCGGGTATCACTTACACCGCTGGCAGCAATCCAATGTACCACTGTCCCTTCACTTGCTTCCGCCACGCCGGGGACACCCGAACTGAAGTTAATCAAGTTAATTCAAGCGCCGCGGTATTGAATTGCCAGCCACCGAATTCTCACCACCACAGCAGGCGGCCCCACTGCATGGGTCTAGTTGATTTCAGCTACATAGATCGCAAGCGACTTAACTCCCGAGATTTTCCCGGCTTCTGTTCCAGGAACAATCCCGGGAACAACGCCGCCAATGACGGGAACAGAAGCAGCGTAAGTTCCGAGGGATTCTGTGAGAACGACGGTGATATGTCTAATTTACCAGCCTTTCCGCTGCCGTCCCAGGTAGACCTGGTGCGCCGGGAGTACGGCGAGCTGAACAATTGCGGCGGAGACACTGACTCGCAAGAGGGTGGAGGCAGCGAGTCCTCTTCCAACAGCAACGTCAGCTTGAAGAATGCTCAAGGTTCGGACAAGCACAGGTCAAACGCCTCCTCAGAGACACACAGTGACAGCAGCGATAGTTGCATTAATAAAATCACCATAGATTCATCCAAGTGTCGCATCGCCACGATAGCAGAGTACAGAGATCCTCAGCAAGCCAGTACCTCCACGGCTTCCACCAGCAAAGCTGTACCAGTTAGTAACAAACGAGATACCGCTGAGTGTAGTTTAGCTAAAGATCCGCTGAGAAGACCCTCCAAGGATGAGAGCTCGTCGTCCAGCAGCGACAGCCCCTCCGGGGACGAGTATAATTTTTATTATTATGATACTAAAGCCATGGCCAGTATGACCGCCACGGAGATCAAGGATTTGAAGAACGACAGCCACGGGGCCAGCGCCAGTGCTGTTCTCGGGAATCTAAAGAAAACCGAGGACCCTTGGGACATTTTGTTCGCACGAGCTGAGGGCCTTTACGCTCACGGACACACACGCGAGGCTTGTATTCTCAGTGTTAAATTAGCGGAAGAATTGCTGTCGCATCCGCCGGATTTGATGATTGAAGTCCCGCCGGTGGTTATAAAAGGCAAGCGGAAAAAACAGCCGGTTAATCCTGCGTCTCATCAGCTTACTTGTTTGGCCTCAGCGACTCTGGCTAAGTGCGCGTTTTTGTGCACAGTTTTAATGGAAAATTTCGAGCACCACAATCTGGCATTCAGAGTCGGTCTATTTGGGTTAGAAATGGCGCGACCTCCGGCGAGTACTAAGCCTCTGGAAGTTAAATTAGCACACCAAGAGAGCGAGCTCGTGGGACTGCTAAAAAGGATTCCACTGGGGCCGGCTGAATTGACAATGCTGCGTCAGCGCGCTGAGCAACTTCGTGATGGAATTTTGAGGTCACGTGGCCACGCATTGTTGCCGATAATGCTGGCGAGTTTGATATTTGATGCGTTGAACACTTCGTTGAAAATGAAAGGCGAGTGGTCAACGCTGACCAACGAGGAGGACGAAAATCTTGGGTTTGATGCGGCTGTAGCTGCTCTGGGGCTCAAAGCTAATGTCAGCGAGGCTGATCATCCGCTTTTGTGCGAAGGCACTCGACGGCAGAGAGGCGATCTCGCGATTACGCTGCTTTTGCACTACAAAGACGAGCCGGTTAAGGTTGCTAAGATAATGGACAAGCTTCTGGATCGGGAGATTCATCAGCTGATTAAGACGCCGATTGTCAGCAGCTATTACAGCTCGAATCCGCCGACCAAGAGCCAGCTGGCCAACTTCCGGCGGACTAAAATGTGCTCGTCGCCTTTGACCGGGACGGATGTCAGCGGAAGTGGCGATGGAATTGCTGGTACTAGCAGTAGACCTCACAGCAGCACTAGCGCTGAGCTGGAAGCTGGCATGAGTGCTCTCACGGTCCAGCCTCAGGCTTCCCAGCCCCCGGTTTCCACCAGGACCAAGGAAACGAGGTTAGGCAGGCAAGAGAAGAATCTAATTATTTATTATTATGATTGTTTACATTTATTAGATTTAATTTAATTGTTAGTATTCCTTTTAGGTACAAGTGCAAGAAGGTCTACCCGTCGATCCCGAACCAGCCCTCAGAAGCCGGAGCTCACTTTATGTGCGAGTTGGCCAAGACAGTTCTGTTAAAAGCTGGGGGTACTAGCTCGACCTCGTTGTTCACTCAGGCCTCGACTAATCAAAACCACCATGGTCCTCATCGTGCGCTACACATGTGTGCCTTTCAAATTGGACTCTATGCACTTGGACTTCACAATTGCGTCAGTCCTAATTGGCTCAGTCGGACCTACTCGAGCCACGTATCATGGATCACCGGTCAGGCCATGGAAATCGGCGCTCCGGCAATCTGGTTCCTGATCGACAGCTGGGAAGGGCATCTCACGCCTCCCGAGGCTGTTAGTATTGCAGACAAATCTTCACGTGGTAGCGATCCTAATATGGTTCGTGCTGCTGCTGAGTTGGCTTTGTCTTGCTTGCCTCACGCTCACGCCCTCAATCCCAATGAGATTCAGCGAGCCATTTTACAGGTAGATAGATAGATTAGAAATTTTATTTTATTCTAGAATCTAAGCTTCCTCAGAGCTAGTAGTATTTAAGATACATTGGTTTACATTTGTAAATAATATAATTCGGTTTAAAATTCATTAATTAATTCAATTTAAATTTTAATGAAATACAGATATACATAAATTAAATTTTGTTTTATTAAATAATAACTTTTGTTAAATTGCACTGTACTTTCTTAAATATTGACATTTTTAAAGATATAAGCTCATCCTGATGTTACTCTCATCAAGAGCTTTCATTTGAGTGCCCATATGTATTTTTATATATCTTTCATATATACATATATATATAAATGTACAAAATATATGAAAAATTGATGTGGGTACTCAAATGAAAGGTATTGATGAGTGTATCATCAAGATGAGCTTATATCTTTAAAAATGAGAATAATTGAGAAATTACATCGTATTTTGTCCTTTGATGATATTTCTAATGATATAAGCCCACCCTGAAGTTATACTCATCGAGAGCCTTCATTTGAGTACCCACATGTATTTTTTATATATTTTTCATATATACATTTATATAATATATATCAAATATATGAAACATATCAAAAATGCAAGTGGGTACTTAAATGAAAGGTCTCGATGAGTGTAATATCAAGATGAGCTTATATTTTTAAAAATGTCAATGTATCTAGAGTTTATCATATATATATATATATATAAATACACTGGCAACAAAATTTTGCTTATTCTTTTAATAATATAAATTAATAACTTTTATATTCTATAATAATTTTATTAAAATTTCAGTGCAAAGAACAAAGCGACCTTATGTTGGAAAAAGCGTGTATCATGGTGGAGAATACAGCAAAAGGCGGCGGAGTCTATCCAGAAGTGCTCTTCCAAGTCGCGAAATACTGGTACGAGCTGTATTTGCGTCACACACCCGGTGGGGAGCAGCAAGATGATATTCCGCACGACCACCTCCAACTGGACCCGAATGGCGCTCTGATAGTAGAACCAGGACAAGGTCAACTGGACCTGAACATCGGACAGATGATGCCAGGACCAACGCAGACGGTGGTGGTGACGAGTACTCAGCCGCCACCACAACCTTATCCTCCTCACCCGACGATGACGACTCTGGTGCCGGGTGTGGGGTTGCCCTACACCGTAGGACCGTACAGCTTCGTGCATCCTCACCACCCGATCCCGGCGTTCGGCGGACAGATGCCTCCGCATCGCGTGGCGCTGCCTCCTACGCCTCCGCACATGCAGATGTACCACGCGGCGATGCCACCGCACCAGGTGCACCCTCAGCACCAGCGACACCCGCCACCGGTGACCCAGCCGCCGCCTGTCCAGCAGTACTACCCTCAGCCGACGGTGACGACGGTGAACGTCCATCCTCTGCCTGGCGGCCACCACATGTTCGGAATGCAGCAGCCGATGCCGGTGAATGTCCCCCAGGAAGTCGCTGGCTCGATCCCCGGTCACAATGGCATGCAAGGACCGGCTATGGTCCAAGCCCAGCCGATTATTTCGACTGTTCGACCCCAACCGCAAGTACATCGACAGAGCCAGGCCTTCAGTCCTCAGCAGTTGCGTCCACTTGTTGCTGCCTATCGGGTCGGTATGCTCGCACTGGAAACTCTCGCCCGCAGGGTACATGACGACAGACCGCAAGCCAAGTACGCCAGGAATCCGCCCTACGGCGAGGATGTTAAATGGTTACTCAGAATTTCAAAGCGCCTCGGCACTCAGTGCTTTAACCAGCTCTGCATGTGCACTGTCAACAGTATCGTCAGTCCATTTGTACTTCATGATGTTGCTCTTGAAGCTGCTACTTTCCACTCGAGAAGCAATCCTACTATGTTTTTGCAGCATTTGAGGTCAGCGCTATTAGCACCTATCGTTCACAAGTGTCAGCAAATGTAAGATATTATTATTATTATTATTATTATTATTATTATTATTATTGCCATGACTTTTAAACTATAAATAAGTAAAATTTTGCTTTATTAAATAATGACTTTTGTTAAATTGCACTGTATTTTCTTAACTGTTGACATTTTTAAGGATATAAGCTCATCACAATGTTACATTCATCAAGAGCTTTCATTTGCGTATCCACATGCATTTTTGATATATTTGTCATATATACATATATATCATATATATAAATATATAAAATATATGAAAAATTAATGTGGGTACTCAAATGAAAGGTCTTGATGAGTGTAATGTCAAGATGAGCTTTTATCTTTAAAAATTTCATTAGTTAACAAGATAGCAAAGGCAGTTCTTAATTATTGACATTTTTAAAGATATAAGCTCATCCCGATGTTACACTCATTAAGAGCTTTTATTTGAGTACCCACATGCATTTTTGATATATTTTTCATATATTCATATATATAAATATATAAAATATATGAAAAATTGATGTGGGTACTCAAATGAGAGGTCTTGATGAGTGTAATATCAAGATGAGCTTATATCTTTAAAAATGTCAATAGTTCACGAGATACAGGGTCATTTCTTATTTGTGTATTTAGAAATAGAGCAAAAACAAAATTTTTCATTTTCTCTTAATAATATAGATTATTATTATGATATTTAATCTGGAAATTTTATTATTGGTAATTAAATAATTTTATAACTTTTGCTATGAATAATTTACATAAAAATTCATTTTATAACTATTACATAATTTATACAAAATAAAAATAAGGTCAAGATTTGATAAGAAGAAAAACAAGCAATAGAAAATTTTACTTTTTAAAATACAAGTCAATAATTGGGTCAACAAAATAAAAATAATTAGATTAATTTATAGAAAGTTTTAATATATATTATTCATTATATCACTCGACATTATTCAAATATCTAAATAAACTATAATTTATTAATATAAAGACTAATAAATAACAAATAATTACAGGTACATTCAATGTATGCATCATAAATTGTATCACTTAATGTCAGGGGAGTATGAAGAATTTGCGAGCATAGTTTGCGCAGCGCGAGCTGCTTTCCATATTACACCGGAAGGTCACACGCAGTTTAAGGAGTGGCTCCAGTCTATGAAAAGGTCAGCGATTATTTTTCCTCATAGGAATTCTAGCGTACACACTTTAATCACTTAATCAATGTCTTTCTCGTGTTATAGATCTCCGGCTTGCAATAAAGAATTATGGGCTCAGATAAATGCAGCTCTGCAAAGTAATAATAAATGACACAGAGCGGAGCCAGGCGTGACGTGGCTCACATCTCATCTTCATGCTCCTCCCACACCTCCGGCCCAGCAGATTCACCCTCAACAACAACAACAACAACAACAACAACAACAACAACAACAACAACAACAACAACAACAACAACAACAACAACAACAACAACAACAACAACAACAACAACAACAACAACATCAACAACAGCAGCAGCAACCAGCCAGGACAGCTCTTGTACTTCAACATCAGCAGCAACATCATCAACAACATCGCCATCCTCCAGAGAACCTCACCTACGTCAGAGGATTGGCCACTATAAACGAACTCGCGTGGGATAAAATAGCGATTCCTTGCATGTTCGACAGGTCACCGCAGTATCACCAGCACCGGACAATTCATTACGCAACTGGCCCGCCACTTTCTCTAATTCACAGAGACTCTATTGCGAGGCCTCATAACATCCCTGACGCTAGGCTAGGACAACGTAGTTGATTATAATAAATTTTAATCGGTCTCATTTTCCGCGGGCTTGTTTTTTTCTTAAGTATTCAATTTTTTTTAAATCTCGAGATATTTAATTATTTTTCTACGTCAAATTAATTTGTATAAATTAGATAAAATTATTTTGGTAATTGTTATAAATAAATATTTTTTCAAATTTATTTTAAGAACGATCGAAGATACTCGCCCGCTTTTATAAAAAAAAAAATTTATTGAATTTGCATAATTATTTTTTTTGCAATTGAGTGTGTGGTATTTTTTTTTTAAGGTAAATATCTACAATGCATCCACCACTCGGCAATTTAAAAAGTGCGTGTTATTACAAGGAAAGAACAAGATGACACTAGATATCATCCCTGATTATACTGAGTGAAAAAAAATTTCAAATAGCTAGTACAAGTCACTGTCGTGACTTGTGAACTATTAATAAATAAAATTTTGTGTTATTAAATAATGACTTTTGTGAAATTGCACTGTATTTTTTTAATTATTGACCTTTTTGAAGATATAAGCTCATCTCGATGTTACACTCATCAAGAGCTTTCATTTGAGTACCCACATACATTTTTGATATATACATATATATAATGTATATAAATATATGAAAAAATGATGTGGGTACTCAAACGAAAGGTCTCGATGAGTGTAACATCGGGATGAGCTTATATCTTTAAAAATATCAATAGTTCACAAAATACAAGTTCATTTCTTAATTATTGACATTTCTTAAGATATAAACTCATCCCGATGTTACACTCATAAAGACCTTTCATTTGAGTACCCACAAGCATTTTCATATATTTTTCATATATACATATATATATATAATATATATAAATATATGAAAAAATGATGTGGGCACTCTAATGAAAGGTCTCGATGAGTGTAGTATCAAGATAAGCTTATATCTTTAAAAATGTCAATAGTTCACTAGAAAGGTCATTTATTAATTATGTATCTAGAAATACCTTTCTAGATACATAATTTTACCACAAAATTTTGCTTAGTCTCAATAATATAGATTGCAATGAGTATAATCTGGGATGATATCCAGTGTCATCTCGTTCTTTCCGAAAGTAATTAATAATTTTGTTTAAGAAATAACACTTACCCAATATTTGATGGGAGATAAATAACTTAATCACTAAAAAATAAACTAAAAAAAAAAAAATAATGAAATCAAAAGCCAGGCTAACCGATCGTCATTTAGATGAATTATTAATTGATTGATAAATTCAATTATTTAATCCCATGACTATGTCATTAGCGTCAATTAGGTAGTAAATTTTATTTTGTCACTAGATAGATTGAATTTCATTGTCTTATTAATATAAATATTTTTTTATATTTCAATTAATCGATTTAAGCTGTCATAAACGATGACGATAAACTAAAAAGGGAAATATGAAAAAATATATTTATAGTGACGATACGGTAATTAAATAAATAAATATTTATACACAACCATACTATTTATTTAAATAAAAAAATTCAGTATGGAAATATTTACTTAACATCGAAATTATTTTATATTCAATTTTTTTTATAATTATATATATTAATTAAAAAAAATCTAGCATAATTAAATAATTTTCTTAATATTTTTTTTTATCGATCAAAATCATTTAAAAAAATTTATAAAATGCATACTTATATATTTAAAAAAATGCGTTTTAAATAAACAAAACATTGTCAGATTTGACAATCCGTAATTGAATGATCTCTGTAATTTAATTTAATTTAATTATAATTATTTGAATTAATAAAATAAATAAAATTAAACGTTGACATATCACCTAAAAAAATTTTGCGACACCTGCCTCTAATTATTATTCGCTTACACATTTATTAATTATAATAATTGTCATTGTAATAATTTATCATAAATCCCACAAGATAAATCAAATTAAAGTAAGAGTTTAAATAATAATAATAATAATAATAATAATAATTGTAAATTGATTACCTTGTCACTGCGTTCGCGATTGTTCTACTTAAAGCAATTTTAAAATTTTTGAGTAATAATTTGTTTTTAAAAAATAAATACTAAGCCGCTAAATAATAAATAAAAAATAAAAATTAATAAATAATATTTATTGTTATTGTTTTTCTAGTAACACTGAACAGTGCCTCGTCAAAATCAATGTGAAAAATCTCAGTCTGCAAGTTAATAACTAACCAGCGATGTTGATATCGTATAATTAATATTTAAGATTAATTATTAATATTAATAAGAGATATAAACATTGCTCTGTCTTGTAATCGTATATTCTCCAGTGTTAAATAATTCCATTGTTAATATAGTTATTTATCATAATTATTATTACAGTAACAATAACAATTACAACTATAATTATTGTCATATTAATATTATTATAAAAATAACAAAATCGATCGAAAAATCCAGTGTCGACGGGGAAAAATTTAATAATTAAAAAATTAGTAATTTATAATTAATAATTAAGATTTAAAAAAAAATAATTGTTTAAATCTGCAAGGCTAGATCCTTTTGTTTAAAGACAAGGATTTGTCTCTGTTGGTGATATGTCACAGGATAAAATAATTTAGTTTAAAAAATTTGCGACAAATGAGGCTGGCTGGATCCGCGATCGCTTAAATATTTATTTGTCATCATAAAATTGCTCAATTGTAATAACCTAATAACTAATTAAATGACTTTGCACACTTTGTTTGTCTCGGCACCGAAAGAACAAGATGACACAGGATATCATCCCAGATTATACTGATTATAATCCAGATGAGCTTATATCTTTAAAAATGTCAATAGTTTACAAAATACAAGGTCATTTCTTAATTATTGACATTTTTTAAGATATAAGTTCATCCTGATGTTACACTCATCAAAACCTTTCATTTGAGTACCCACATGCATTTTCATATATTTTTCATATATACATATATATAAATATATAAAATATATGAAAAATTAATGTGGGTACTCAAATGAAAGGTCTTAATGAATGTAACATCGAGATGAGCTTATATCTTTAAAAATGTCAATAGTTCACAAAATACAAGGTAATTTCTAAATTATGTATCTATAAATACATTTATAATCTGATTATAATCTGGGATTATATCTAGTGTCATCTAGTTCTTTTCGTGTAGTGAATAGAATCTGTTTAAAAAAAAAATTAATATTATTGTAAAGATAATTAAATTTAAAAAATAGTTGTGATGGCGAGATTGCCGCCTGCCGTTTGTTTGCATCCGGGTTAGATTTAAATTTTTAGAATACCTCGACTAGTGTAGAATTAGTCAAAAAAAAAAAAAAAGGTAATAGATATTAACAGTAATAATTAATAAAAAAATTTTATGTATCCCCATTATATGATAATCTATGAAATTGTCATTAGTCGAATAGGTGTTTAGCCTAATTAGTGTGTGTAGGAAATGAAAACCCGAGTTAGTCAGTAACGTGAGAAAGAATAAGTTTAAAAAATTTTAAAAATAAAATGAAAAAATCTAAGCAAGAGATTTAACGGAGATTGATAAATCTATTTTTACACTTGGTCAAGAATTAAATAAAAAAAAAAAATAATTATTAAAAAAATAAACTGGTAAAAAAAAATTACACCAGAAAAGTCTATAGTAAATGATTTAGAGCTTTATCTAGAGGTAATATTAAAAATTATAAGTAATTATTAATAGGGGTAGAAACGCGAGTTTTAATAAATTATTTTACAATAGATTAAAAAAAAAAAAAATTCAGGTTTTATTTTTAATTAAAAAAAAAAAAAGGTAATGTTTAAAAAAATTAAGAGTAATAAATAAAGAAAATATCTATTCCTTGATAAAAATTATATTGTGAGTAAATACGTCATATTTATTTTATACAGTGATATATATATACATACACAACATATTATATATATATTTACTAAGCAACTTTAAACATTTTCTACTTAACGATTAAGTACGTATAGAAATTATAAAACTATTATTATATATATTATACATTATAAATATATATATATATATAAAAAGATAATAAAAAAAAATATAACAGACATTACGTATTAAATATCCGGTGTAATTTACTTGGACGTTTAATAAATTACACCGAAATAATTAAAAAGTGAATTAAAAATTAAGTGAATTAGCTTATCAAATTAAATAAAAAATTAACGCTTATTTTTCCGATGAATTTATTATTACAACAATTAAAAATTTAACTAATTAATGGATATAAATTAATCTCGGCTGTCTGCAGCGCTCACAATTAATCGTTTAATTTTTTAATTATATAAATGTACACACTCGTTTTATTTAAATGCTTATTATTTACAGAACCGAGAGCAGAAATTAATTAGCTGGTGAAATAATTGTTTTGGTGTTTGCTATTTTATTTGATTTTTATCGCTAAGGTATGTGTGGTTTTCACATATAAGGTTTAAATAAATAAATAAATAAATAAAAATATATAAATAAATATATTATATTATAATGAAGATAATTATATACATACATATAACAAATTATATTGTATTAAATATTATAAATCGATGTCATAATAAATATGATACTCGTCATATATTTGCTTATCATTTATTCATCCTGCTTCTTTATTTATTTACTCTTTTTTTTTTAGTAATTTATTAAATATTTACAATTCTTCTTTTGGTAAATATTTTATTTATTCAAAAAAATATTTTAGTATTAAAATATTGTACAATAGTTAATTATTTTTTTATTTAAAAAAATTTTTTTTAATCTTAATTAATTATTTAATTATTTAAAATTGTAAAATTATAAAACTTTAAATAAAAATTATTATTCTGTAAAAATTTTAATTATTCTTTCCATAATTTTTTTTTTTAATATTAAATTAATACTAAATTTTTCCAAAATAATTAGTTTTATTTTTTGTAAAAGTACAAAAAATTTTTATGTGAAAAAAGGTAAAATAAATTTTTATAAAAATGTTTCTTTAATAATTTATTTTAAAAAAGTCAAAATTTAATTTTATTATCTTTAAAAACTTGTTTTTTTTGTTAAAAAAAATTATTGTAAGCTAAAATATGTTCTTGGATGCAAGTGAAGAGAGCAAGCAGTCGTGGCCGAGTGGTTAAGGCGTCTGACTAGAATATACTTATCACGATTCTAGCAATCAGATTCCCTCTGGGAGCGTAGGTTCGAGTCCTACCGACTGCGAGATTTTTTTTTTTTTAATTTCTTATTATCCTGTAATTAAAAATTTTAAATAATAAATAAATTAAAGTTTCATACTTAAAATTTATAAATTATTATTTTAAATCACTATAAAAAATTATATATGAATATATTAAGCTATAAAAAAATTTTTTATGGTTAATTTCATGTAAGCTTAATAAAATCTCTTTTTTAATAAAATTATTATCAAAATATCTTGAAAAGCAACGTAAAAATTAATATCAACTACCAGGACACTTGACTAAAAATTAACCATCTTATCTCAGCGCAAACACCGATGAATCTCTCTCGATTGCCGATGAGATAATTACAAATGACGTTATTTACGTAATCGCGTGGAAATTTTTAAAGTCGATAACATATGAAGGTGTGTATTTTTATCAGCTTAAAAAGTACTGACCAATTAATTTTCATAACTTTTTTATCAATAATGTTTAACATATATTATCGGTCGTTTTAAATTAACATTCATTTATAAAAAAATGTAATTTTTTTGTTTGATATGAATTAATCACGCCAGACATCACTTATTTGTCGTGATAATAATAATAATAATATTTCATTGTCAAGTGTCTTTAATTCTTTTATTATTTATTGCAGCGTATTATTAAATTTAAAAGTTACTCACGAATAATTATAATTAATTCTAGCGTAAATAAGATATATTATCGTGTAAAGAAAAATTTTGCCGACTAATGAACTTGACTTTCGAATGCAATGTACTTGATGAATTTACAGAGTCTTATATCTGCTTTAAAACAAAAAAGATTATTATTAATATTTTTTTTTGGCATTTATAATTAGTAAAAAATAATTTTAAATTAAAATTATGGATTGAATATTAGAGATACAAAAAAAAAAGAACCATAAAAATACTTTTTTATAAATAATTAAATCCTCAATAATAAAAGTCCTTATCAATTTTATCGTATCTTGCGTCTTTAAGACACAATATTAATTCTTAATTATAATTTATTTCGACAATTCAATCTTAGTTTAATATCAATTAGCAACCTTGCGGTCACTATGTGACTGCCGTTACTTGTGAACTATAAATAAATAAAATTTTGCTTTATTAAATAATGACTTTTATTAAATGGCACTGTACTTTCTTAAATATTGATGTTTTCAAAGATATAAGCTCATCCCAATGTTACACGCATCAAGAGCTTTCATTTGAGTACCCACATGCATTTTCATATATTTTTCATATATACATATATATAATATATATATAAATATATGAAAAATTGATGTGGGTACTCAAATGAAAGGTCTTGATGAGTGTAACACCGGGATGAGCTTATATCTTTAAAAATGTCATTAGTTTACAAGATACAAGGTCATATCTTAATTACGTTAAATTGTTCTGTACTTTCTTAACTATTGACCTTTTTAAAGATATAAGCTCACCCCGA